TTGAGGCGCTCCCTTTGGAGTTGGCCTGAGGGCTACACTTCATCTGAGAAGATTTCACTGCCAGAGGCTCATTGGCACCCGGCTGAGTGGAAACCCACTCTTTCTTCTCCCAGGCTGGTGTAGCACCCAGTCGGCTCTCTCTCACCCCTACTTCGCCCTTAGAGGTTCAAAAGTTTTTAAGAACAAAAATGTCCCAATTAGCAGCCTGAGTTCATGTTTCTCTCAACAAAGCTGAGGATTCTGGGAAAAATATTTGGGTGTGATTGCCCTAAACATCCTCTAGGGTTTCCTAAACTTGGCATGATTGACATTTTGGGCCTGATCATTATTTGCTGTGGGGGATTGTCCTGGGCCTTGTAGGGTATTTAGCATCATCCCTGGCGTCTACCCACTAGATACCAGTAGTAACCCCAGTCATGACAATCAAACATGTCTCCAGACATGCCTAGTGTCCCCTGGGGGGCAAAATCACCCCACTGAGAATCACTGCTCTACTCTTAGGACCTCTTCCAGGTCCCTCACTCTGAGTGTTCCCGCCCTTGCTCCTCAGCCTTGCCCCTAGCTCAGGAAGAGAAGCTCTTGTGCAGGTTTTCCATCCAGAAAATCAGGATGGCTTTTGGAAGGGCTGGAGCCTCCCTTCAGAGGGAACAGCAGCTGCATCAAAGCTAGGTTGGTCACACAATAAACCAGAAACCAAACCCACTGCCATCAAGTTGATTCCTACTCATAGCGATCCTATAGGACAGAGTAGAACTGCTCCATAGGGTTTCGTAGGCTGAGATCTTTATGGGTCTTTTCTCCCGAGAAGCTGCTGATGAATTCATATGATGACCTTTTGGTTAGCAGCTGAGCACTTAACCACCCCACCACCTTGGTCACACAATAGATGGACATTTTTAATGTGGTCAAGCTGGTTGTCTCAATCAGATAACAGCGCCTAATAATTAGGATCAGGAGGTAGTATCTAGAGAGGTTACGGCATCCCCTTGCCCCCATAATCTTCTTGGGATCCACACTTCACTCATTTACGCCTAATCCTAGATGTTGAATTTATACGAAAGTTTGCATAAATTCATCTACTCCAATCCCCGCCATTTTGTAGATGATGAAGGTGGGACTTGGAGAGAGTATGTGACTTGTCCCCCTCGAGCTGGAGTTAGCCCTAACCTTAGGTACAATTTTTACTCACCTGCAATTGCCCATTTTCTTTTGATGGCAGTGGAAGTTTATGCAGGCAAGGATTTTAAGATGCAGAAGACATTTCCAGAAATATACAAATAATGAGGCACAAAGCAAGTTCTTGACAGAAACTCCCAAAAAACTAGTGAATATATCTGACATCCAGTTCCCACCCAAACATTCAATCCCTCTCCCTAACCTTCCAGAACTCGGGCAGGCCTAAGATCATGGGCCCTCTGACCCTGCCAGCCAGCAGAGGCCCAGACAACACTGGCCTCATAGATGAGCCCTGCCTTCTCCCCGCGCCTCACAGGGCTGGGGTGTGGCATGAGCGTCCCTTCCTCTCCCCTCCATCTCCTCTGCACTAGCCCTCCGGCCTTCCCATGTTGCTTCTGTCTGGGCCCCTCTTCCTCCTTCCTGTATTCACCCGAAAATGAATTCAATTGGAAACCGTTAATGTGCTGGTCCCAGAGGTGGGCAATCACTTAGGGAGATAATTTTATTCTCCTCTGTCTCCCTGGCCCCATGAAACACCCCTCCCCCTGTGCTCCATGCAGATAATGAGGGAAGTGATGACACGCACTCCTTCCTCTGGCCTGATTACCCCACACACCTTGGAGTGCTTTGCATAACCCACCAGACAGCAGCAACCCTTCCAGGCAGAGTGATTGACATGTTTGATTTCTAATTGAAGCTTAATCAGGACTGGGGATGAGACTCCCATATTCATTCTTTCTCTCTCTCCTGGCTTCCCTTTTAATTTTTAGGGCCCAACAACAGAGCACAGAAGCAGTTTCTGGGGATCCTTGAGAGGAGGCAGAAAAGGCGAGGGCTAGGGAGGAGGTCCTGGGAAGAGGATGAAGAAATGAAATTGAGATGAAAATGCCACCAAGGAGAGGAGTGGGAAGTCGTTTTCTCTTCCCTTTTCTAGCTGAAAAGCATAGGAGATTCTTTTCTGTTTTGATTACATTTTCTCACTGGGGCCATCGTGAGGTTCTGCCAGTTGAAAGGTCCATGTGCTCTCTGGGATAAGAGAAGTTGCACACATACCTGAGTCATTCTGGGTTACCCCCAACTCTCCCCCCGGGCACCTGCATGCACCACTCTTTCTCATCCCAGGATGATGATCTCATCCCATGACCATTATCTCTGGAATATGATGGGCTGAAAAGCTGACTGAACCTCAGGGTTTTGACTGGAGAGAGACCCAGAGACAGGCAGACCTCTGGAAGCTCCCCCTGGGCTCTCCACACCTGTCTCCCTCTGAGCAGGTCCAATTTCTCCTCCCTTGGTGGATGTTCAGGACCCTGGTGGCGCAGTGGTTAAGAGCTACGGCTGCTAACCAAAAGGTTGGCAGTTTGAATCCACCAGCTGCTCCTTGGAAACCGCATGGGGCAGTTCTACTCTGTCCTATTGGGTTGCTATGGGTCGGAATCTACTTGACAGCATCGCGTTTGGTGTTTTGTTTTTTTGGTGGATGTTCAATCCGAAAAGGCTGCCCAATTCTGCAGCCATCTCCATCTTTACAACCCCCTCTCCCTGCTCCCCTGCCTGGGAGGTTTTCCTGCTCCCTGGGTCCCGCTGGAGTTGCAGAGGTGCTGCGACCTCTCTTTTACTTGGCAATAGGAGGGGTTGGGCTTCTTTCTGGCGGGATTTCGAGGAGTGGGGTCCCGAGTAGGGGTTGTTTACACTCACTACCACGTGTCAGCCCTGGGCATGTTTATCTTTCATCCTCACAACCACCCTGCAAATTAGATGTCATCATTCCTATTTTGGAAAGGAGGAAATAAGAGCACAGAGAAGTTAATTATCTGCCTCGGGTTTCACAGGCGGTGGACTGGAGCGGGTCTGTACCAAGGCTAAGCTTGTGAAGCGCGAGTTGAGGGTATCAGGAGTGTGTGCTACCCAGAGGTCCCCACTCTGGCCCTGGTCCTGGGGTTCTGACCTCAGAGGTTCAAGGCTCGGACAGTTGAAGTCCTCCCACCGCGGGGCCGAGCCCGCTCCAGGTCAGGTGATCGCAGGGCCAGAGTGGACGGAACCTCGGTCTGTACCTTGGGCCTGGGAAGGAGCCTCAACGCGGAGGCACCAGAAACAAAGAGGGGGGAGAGGAGGAAGCCGAGGAGAGGTCTCTGCCTCTGGAGGGGCGAGAGCGAGCCCCAGCTGGGAATATCTTGGCCTGGTGTCTGCCTCCGCTGCCCCAGCTTTCTGGGGCCCGAGGGGCCGCAGACCGCCACGCCAGCCGCTACTCCTTCCCCAGGCGCTGCCACACCCAAGCCTTGGCGGAGGGCAGGATGCCGCCGGCCTCGCCCCCAGGGGCGCGGCTCAGGCGGCTGTGCCTGCATCGATCAGTCCTTCCCGGACTCACCTCTGCTCCTGCCAAGCCTCAAAAAAGTGTACAATATTATGCAGGGCCTTGTTACGTGGCTTCGGGTGTGAGAGCACTTTGCAAACCTCCCCAGGGACCCGCGAGATTGCACACGCCCTACTCTGAGGGCCAAACACCCAGCTGCTGGCTGCCTGGTAATTTACTAAGTAAACGTGGTGGGGGAAGGCTGCCCACTCCCCCACGCACACTGTTCGTAACCCTGAGGCATCACTCTTTCTGCATTCCCTACAACTTCTTCAAGGCCAAGTTGGGCAAGAACCCGAGGTCTGGAAGAGAAGAAGAGGGCATGGAGGGGGGCAAGGTCCGGCCTGGCCGGGGAGGCCGCGGAGGCGAGGCGCGGAGCCGCCCTCTTGTCCTGTAGAGGGAGCTCCAGCTCCAAATTTCCCAGCTCCCTCCCCCTCGCCCGCCTACCCCAGTCAGGCTTGGAGCCAAAGCCCGGTTTCCTCGGTGCAGCCTCCTGGCCCCTGCACCCGGCCCTCAGAAAGCTGCCCCTTCTAGGGCACTGGGGACAACTCAGTGAAGTGCCAAGACGCACAGATGCCCTCAGGACCCGGCCCCCATTCTCACCCTAAGCTGGGCACAGTCCCACAGTCATCAACCCCTGGGCTCCCTCTCCTCCATGGACCCCCCCCAACCCCCGTCACTCCACACCCTTAGAAGTAGCGCTTGTACCACAACAGGTGGGGTCTGGCGTTGCAATGCGGTTGAAAGAGGAGTTTGGAGCTGGGCTAGCACTGCCTCTTACGTAAGACCAAGAAAGCCTCAGTTGTTCCTATCAAAGAATGGGGGGTGGGAGGGAGGGTGGTGACGAGAACCTTCCAACCCTAACCCTTGAGCGTCCAGACCCTTCTCTAGGCCCTTTGCTACGTCACCGGAGGAGGCCCTAGAGTCGCGCGGTTGCTCCTGTGGACCGGCGGGTTGGGCCCAGTTTCCCGGCTCCTCTTCGGGAATCTTGCGCCGGTTTCCCACCTGTCGCCTCCGCCCTTTCTCTCAGGAGCCCCAGGTACTTCTCCAACCTCCTCTTCTGTGGCGCCCCCAGCCCGCTACTTCTGCGCCACCTCCTTCATTACTCTGTCCTGACTCGTCTCTCGTCCTTTTCCTCTGATCCGGGCGACTCTTGCAACATGGGGGGCGAGGAGGGAGTAAAAAAACAACAAAAACAACCCACCAAACAGATCCGTCCGAGGGCAGGCAGGAGGGTTATAGTCAAAGTGGCAACAGCTCATTTATTTCGCCAAAAATAGATACTTTCTTGTACAATTTGGTTCACACATATGTACATTTTTCTGTATCTACAAAAAAGTGAGACGCGCTTATTCTCACTGAAACTCCACCCCCCCCCCCAAATCAACGGAACAAACAAACCTCACAAACTCAGCTAATCTGGGGGTACAGAAGCGACTTGGGAGGGCTGGGGGGGCACTTGTTTTATTTTTTTCTTTTCGTTTAGTTTTCTTTTTTAGGTATTCATATTCGGACATGCTTACAAGTTGTAACTATACAGAGCGATTTTTTTTTTACAGTTATTACAACAATTTTAAAAAAATTTAAAAAGAACTAGGATGAGGAGAGAGCCGATAACACCAGAGCGGCGTCCAGGTGGTTCTGGGGCCTGGAAGAGAGAGACAGTGGTAGCAAAGGACGTGAGGTGTGGGGCGCTGAGGCTGCTTAGGGGTGGGAGACCCTACCAGGAGCCGGACCCGACCCGGAGCGAGGAGGTGTCTTAATGCAAAATTATGTCTAGCTGTAGTTATACGTGTTTGGGTTTAACTATAAGAAGGGCAAGAGTCGTTAGGATTCGAGGTTTGGGGCTGGAAGGAGGCAAGTGTCATAGAGTTGCCGCCTGCGCCAGGTGTCTGTTGGCCGGTCCAGGGACAGGTTCCCCCTACGTGCTATCCGCGGGCCGAGCCCGATGTGCCCGGGTTGGGGTCAGTGAGCCGTCTCCAGGCCCGCAGAGGCAACACAACAGTGTATTTCATCCCCTTTTAAAAACGTGTCGGCCGCGTTTCCCCTGGGGCAAAAGCGCACGTCAGGCCCTGCGTTCTTTTCTTTCCCTCGCCTGCTCTTCCTACCAATCCCCCAACCTCAGAGTCTCTTACCGCCTGGGCACGGGCTGGAAAGCCGTCTTGAGTAACTTTTTCTCCACTTCCAAGGCACTACAGCGATCTAAGAGAAGCGAGGGAAGAAAAAGGACTTTTAGAGCCCAGGGCCGCGGGAGGGCAGGTGCGGAGCGAACTGCGCCCCGCGCCCCGCGCCCCCGAGGCCTGCCCATCTCCGCTTGCCAGGGCGGAATCCCCAAAGACGCCCTCCCTCCTTACCCAGCTCTCAGCAATCACCTGTTCCACCCTCGGGCTCCGCCGGCCGAGCGAAGGCAGCAGCGGCGGCGGCGGCCGGATGGCCCGCGGCTCCGGGTAGTCCCAGCAGGTGCGGAGGGGCCGAGCCGAGCAGGGAGAGCGGGTGCGGCCGTGGGCCGGGCGGCGGGCCTGGGAACGACCGGTTGGTCCAAGCGGGGAACTTGCCCAGCGGGGCCGAGACAAGTCTGTGAGCCGCGGCGGCGGCGGCGGCGGCCGGAGAGAGCTGCAGGGCTGGGGGCGCGACAGTAGCCCCGGGAGGAGAACCGCCCGCGCCGGGGGGCGAGCGGCGCGGGTTGTCCGGGCTTGTGGCAGTCTCTGCCAGGGACCAAATCTTAGGCTTCTGCAGGGAGGAGGCGGCCGCTGGCGCTGGAGCGCAGGGGTCCAGGCCGGCGGGGGGCGAGGGCGGAGATGTCGGCGCCGCGGCCACCGGTGGTGGCGCTGGGGCCAGACTCAGGACCGGCAGTGACCGCTCCTCTAAACCCTCGGAGCTGTCGTCCGAGTCGCTATTCTTGGAGTCCGAAATGGGCCCCAGGACGAGATCGCCGTTCCTGCGAGCCGCCCCAGCCAGGGCCAGTTCAGACCCCGCGGCCGCGCCGTCTAAGTTCTCCAAATCAATCTCCTCCTCCTCGTCGTCGTCCGCCAGGCCCTCGCCCCCCGGGTCCTCCTCCTCCCCCCCGAGCTCCTCCTCTTCCAACTCCAGCTCTCGTTTGCCGTCGTCTTCATCCTCCTCCTCGTCCTCCTCCTCGCGCTCGCTCCCGTAAGCGTTGCCCTCCTCGTCGGTGCGGCTGCGGGGCGCCCACGTCATCTTGTTCTCCTTCTTGAGGCGCCGGCGCGCGTTGGCGAACCAGGTGGACACCTGGGTGAGGGTCATCTTGGTGATGATGGCCAGCATGATCTTCTCGCCCTTGGTGGGGTAGGGGTTCTTGCGGTGCTCATTGAGCCAGGCCTTGAGAGTGCTTGTGCTCTCCCGGGTGGCGTTCTTGGGACGGGACGGGTCTCCAAACTGGTACTGGCCATACGGGTAGAAGGCGGGGTGCGGGTGCGGAAACGCGGCAGCCGCGGCCGGATGCTGCACCCCGGGGCTGTCCTTCAGCTCATACTGCGCGCCCTGTAAGCACAAGTAGAGGGAAGGGGATACGCGCGGAGGTAGCGCGGGTAAGCCCCAGCCGCTGCCGCCTCAACTCTCCCGGCCCGGGCGCCGCTCTCCTCCTGCGCACTCAGTTCGCCTGGCACCCGAGCTCCAACCCGCCCCCACCCCTGCCAGCTCCCGGGCGCTTACCAGCTGCGGGAAGATGGGCAGCTCCGCGGCGTAGGGCAGAAAGGCGCCGTAGCCTTGGGCGGCGGCGGCCGCCGCTGCTGCCGCGGCGTAGGGCGCACCGTACACGGACGAGAGCACGTTGGACAGGGACCCCGAGGCGGTCAGCTCTGAGCCTCCGGCGCCCGGGCCGCCGCGGGCCCCTGCACTGCCGCCGCCGGTGGCGGCCCCTGGGCGCTCGGACGGGTAGAGCGGGCGGATGTACTGGTATCCGAGCTGGGGGAAGGACATGGTGGCCCGCGGGGCACCGACGGAGAGGGTCCCGGCCCCCGAGGCCGCCCTGCTCAGCGCCGCCCGCGGGCTCCGGCGCGCATCGGGGGCTGGGCCGGGCCGGGGCCGCGCTGCCTCCCGCGCTGCGCTGCGCTCCGCGCTCGCCTATTGATCTGCTCCGCGGCGGCGGCGGCGGCGGCAGCGAGGAGCCAGGTCAGGTCCGAACAGATTGGCGGAGATTCCCGGGGCTCCGGGCTCTGATTGACATTTCTACCGGGCCACAAGCCCCTCCTCTCTGCGCCGCGCTCCCGCCTCTCGGCAGCCGGAGCTGCCTCTGCCTGCGCCTCGCTCCGCACTGCCCTCCTCTACCGGAGCAGTGTCGCGCCTCGCTTCCTTCGCCCTCCTCTCGTTTGCACTCCCCCACTGTGCCCTTCCTCTTCCCTCCCCTCCCCTTGCTCCTCTTCCCCCCAGGATCGCTTCCGCTCCTTCGGGCTCTGTCGCTCTCCTGGCCGCTAGGAAACTATCCTCTTTTCTGTCCGTCCCTTTCCCTTTCTCCCTGTTCTTTTGCCCCCTTGCTGTTCTCCCCACTCTTTCTTCTCTCGCTCTTTTTATTCCTTCTCTTTCTCTACTCATACAACCCTCCCCACCCCCTTCCTGGCCTTGTGTCCTGTGCTAGGCGACCTAGAGTTGTGGACACTCAGGGTGCTGTATGGGGTGTGGGGGGAGAGGGTGTGTCCGGGTCTGTGTGTCTGTCCCCGCCTCCCCCCTCCCTCACCCTTTCCCAAATCTCGGGTCTGACGTCGCGCCCTCTTATTCGACTTTTCCTCGCGTCTCCTTCCGAAGTCGCCAATCGCCGCGCCGCCTTACAGGGGAGGCCGCCCACCCCCGCGGATACCGCGCGCCGGGCGGGACGGGGTGGGGGCAGGAGCGGGCGCACTTCAGTCCTTTCCCGCCCCTCCCGCCTGCGCCGGGAAAGGGAGCGAGAGGCGCAAGGACCGGGGTTGATATCGGGTCAGCTCGCCACTCCCCACTTCCCGCTCCTCAGTGCCTCGGCCCGGGCCGCTGCGCGGTTCCTGGGTCGGGCCGGGCCCTGGGGCAGAGCAGGCGCTGGGTTCAACTCTGCCCTGGCCTGTCTTCCAGCCCCCAACCCTGGACTCCTGGCCACTCTTGGAGGTGTAGGGAGGAAGCTAGAAGAGTGCGCGCTGGGGGTGGGCAAGCGCTCTAGTCGCGTCTTCAAAGGCCATCTGACTGCCTAGGGGGGCGAAGCAGCCCCCTACCCAGAAGGCTCAAACCCTGAAATTACCCACATTAACGCTGCCTCAGTGTCGGGGTGCGAATCCCTAATTAGAAATGGCGAGCTCGGCCGCGGGGATGAAGGGTGGACGCGCCGGGGGTCCTGGGAAGTTTCGACCGGTACGGGGATCCTGCCGGAGCGGGTTAAGCGCGGAGTGGAGTGGAGGAGGGGCACAGAGTTAAGGCAGTGGTCCCAGGAACTTTCGGAGAGCGCTTCGAGAAGTTTCTATATTGGCATTTTCAGTCTGTAAAGATTCTTCGTTTCACTACTCCCCGGCTCCCGAGCCCACCAGATTTCTTTCTGCAACGGTCCTCGTACCGCCTCGAGTGCGGATGGAAGGCGAGACTGTTAGTTTTATGGTGGGATTTCCCTAAATCAAACCTGAAATCCCGGGATCCAGGCGCCCACCTTCACGGATTAGGGCGTGCAGCCGAGAGCGGTATTGAAATTCCCGGAACTGCGGCGGCTCGGGGCTAAGCGCTTTAGGCCGCGCGGCGGCCGACGCTCTGGCCGGGCCTGCGGCGGGTGCGCCCCGGAGACCACTCGGGAGTGGCGACTCTACCGCGGAGCTGCGGGTCTCGGCTGGGAGGCGGAAACTGGTCACTTCGCTCTGACTGATTGGGGAATAAAACCCAAATCTCCTCAGAGCGGAGCGATCTTCGAAGAGCCCAGGGCCAGAATGAGAGATTCTTCCGTCCTTGGCGAGCACCCAGTTTTGACCCCACCCCCATTCCCCGCCTTTTTCCTCTAGTCTTCGTACTGGTCGGAGGCTCCAGTAGGTGTGAACGCCGAGAAAATTGGGGGTAGGGGAGGGGGATACAAAGGAAAGTTTGGGGGCGACCAGGTTTGGGGTTCAAGCTGAGCTGAGACCTTCCCAAACTGAGCCAGAGCTGCTTCTCCCTTATCCCCTCCCCCAGCCGCCTCTGCCTAGTCCCCGGCGTTGGCCTTAGCTGGAGCCTCGCCCAGGGGGGAACTATCAGGGGCCATTCTGGCCTTGGAATGTTTGCCCGGCGCCTGATTTCGTTTCCGGTTAAACCTCTCAGCAAGGGTCACAGGGAATCTTGGGCTCGTCTTCTTAGAAACAATCTCAGGGTTACAAAATTGAGGGTAACGTTATTTCCTGGGATGTTTCTTAGGTGTCAGAGCTCGAGTCTCGACGGCCCTGAAGTCCTAGAGTTTGCTCAAAATGGTGGCACCAGACCAGGGCGGAGACCAGAGCAAGATTCCGAGGTGGGGGAGCTGGGGCTGCGCAGTAAGTGCCGGGTGAAACGCCCTGTATTTAATTCAGTTCTTCGAGAAGGTAAAGGAAAAAACAATAATGAGCGTCGAAGATGCTTCTTCCGCATTAAGCAGCTATCGACCCGGTCGCGCCAGACTGCGGGAAAGGGGCGGGGGCTGGGGCCGGGGGGAAGCTGTTCTCCGGGAACCCGCCACGCCGGGTCTGGGCGTTCTCCGCCTAGAGGGTGACTCTCAAGACGCACAAGACCCAGACGCGGACCCAAGAACCTCAGTTAATTAGATCCCTCCCGGCGCCCCACGTACGGAGCAGAAGCGGTCCCTCTACTACCCTAGTCTCCAGCTGCGAACAGTCCTGCCCCGACTGGGCGATGCTCGCCCCAAGGCGGGACTAAGTGTCCCAGGCACCTGAGCGCCGACGTGGCGCTGGCCCCCAACTGGACTGGGCCAGTGGGGCCCAGTTCGGGACTGAACTCGCGGGTCCCAGGGCAGTTCGAACCTTTTCCAGGGGTTTTTAATCTAAGAGATTAGGCTAGATTGATACTCTTGCACCGGGAGGAAAAACAGGTGTACGGAAGTTGATTTGGGAAAGACGTGCGCGCGCAAACGCGCCGTACGTAGAAGATTCTTTATCGTTTCGCCTTCTTCCAACGTTCCCAGAGCATAAATCGCTTCGGAGGCTCGCTGTAGACTCTCTTTCACGGTAGCCCAGGGCGCGGGGAGTGCACGGAGAGGGTGTCCAACGCATATGCTCGGCGCACACAGCTGTGCGCGCCAGAGGCGCACAGATTGCCGCGACCCGACGTTGTGTCCAGTGCCCGTGGCCCACCGAGCTCGGGGGCTGCGCCGCGCACTGCACGCGAGCCCCAAGCCACCAGGCCCCCTTCCTGCCCACTCCTGGGCCAGCCCCAAGGTACACGCGCGTCCCCGTCGGGGGCGCTGCCCCAGCCCTAGGTCTTGTTGCCAAGGCCCATCTTCTGTCCTTCCCTCCCACGCCCGGAGTCCCTGGGCGGCGATGCGGGCCGGCGAGCCCTCCGCTTCCTGCCGGAGCCGCGGCGCGCGCTCCCACCGCTCCCTCCCCCCGCGCTCGGGTTACAGGTTAATGAAATGCTCGTTTTCCTCAGTCATTTGTTTTGTTTTCCTGCAAAGTTCTGATAAGTAGCTAACCAACGAAGCTTGTAATTACAATCTTACAGAAACCGGGCCGATCTGTATATAAATCTCACCATCCAATTACAAGATGTAATAATTTTGCACTCAAGCTGGTAATGAGGTCTAATACTCGTGCATGCGATAATCCCCTCTGGATGCTGGCTTGATCAGATGTTGGCTTTGTAATTAGACGGGCAGAAAATCATTATTTCATGTTCAAATAGAAAATGAGGTTGGTGGGAAGTTAATTTCTCTCCGCTCTGTGAAGCGTAGACAAGAATTTAATGATTTAATTACAGTTGTAAGCCCTTTCCATGAGACTTAAATTGAGCTGAGAATATTTTTTTCCTTTTCTCTCTCTCCCTCTCTCTCTTTTGCGTTCTCTCTCTCTGCTATTAGCAGCCGCACGGACGCCAGAGTGCTGCGTGGCCTGGCGTCGGCACCGGGAGGGATTCCCATCTGGCCAGGGATCCGGACCCGGAGCATCCTAGGCGACGCGGGCCGGGGACCCAGAGCCGCCCAGTGACAGGCTCCCGCTCCTCATCAGCTTCTCGGGCCTCGGTGGGTCCAGAGAAGCGACGGGGAAACTTTGGGGGAAACTTTGCCAACTTCACCCTCCGTGGAGAGGACGCCGGAGTGGTCGCAGCGGCGAGAGGAGGCGGCGGTGCGCAGGGTGGGCCCTGGGCCAGGCCTGGGTTCCCGGGGGTGGACCAGGCCGCCCGAAGAGGAGCGCGAGGCCGCCAGCGGGCCCTTTGCTCCCTCGCTCCGCTCCTGGGGCTCCCAGCGGCCCGAGACGCGCAGCGCCATCAGGGTCTGGATTTAAAACCTGGCCCTCAGCGCGAATGATTTTATTTTTCTTTACCTCTCCAGGATCATCCTTTCTTCACCTGAGTTGAGCAGCCCCCCTCCCCTTCTTTGTGTTTCTCTCTCAGACTCGTTATACATTCGATTCCTTGGACAGTCATTTTTGTTCCTTCCTCCTCTCCCTCATTCCGTTCTCCTTTTCTCTGAACCACGTTTTAGATCATTTCTCTCCCTCTCCCCTTACTTTCTGTCTCTTTTTTTTCCCTCTCTGACTCTGTGACTTTTCCTGCTCAGCGTCATTCTCGTTCATTCTGTGTTTTCTCTCTCTCATCCTAATCCTCTCCTATTTCCTTTGTCGGTTTCTTGGTCTGTCTTTCGGGTTCTCCTCTTCGTGCCTATTCTTTCTTTTCCTCTCTCTCTCCAGAAGCTGTCCCCTCCCCCTGTGGGGCGGCCTCCCCCGCGCCTCCTCCCCGTCCATCTCTGGAGATGAGTATGTCGCCTTATTGGATGCTCAGGTCAGAGCCGGGTGATGGGGCTCGGCCTGCGTTGTGCATTTTCTTCATGCATATTGAGGAGATGGTAATGAGCGTGTTTGCATTGTTGCATGGAAATGCTGCGTTTCCAGCCGCAGTTCGGAGCTACCGAGGGTGGCGTGGGCCAGAGCGAGTCTCGCGGTGGGCGCCGGGCCTGGCGTGCGCCCGGGGTCCTGGGGAAGAGGTGTCCTCGCCGAGCGCGGGGCCTGGACGCAGTCACAAAGGCCGGCCGCGCTGCCCTCTTTAAAGCCTTCTTCCGGGAACCCCTGCCTCAGTCACGACGGTTCCTCCGCGCCTCCTGCCCAAAGGCTTCTGAGCGCCCTCCCTTGCTGTTTAGAGATCTGTGGTGGAGCGACACCAGGAAATTAGCGCCTGACAACGTCGTCCAATGGCAATAAATTGT